CGCGCGCCTGCTGCCTCTCTTCCTGACGGACAGTATTTCGCGTACGTGGTGCCCGTGAGACAGCTCTACTGCTACTTGGGCGCGAACCTTGAGGCGCCCGCTGCTGGCGGAGAGGGGAATGGGGGAATAGGGAATGTGCGAAGCTACCTTGCGGCCACACTACTATAACACCTCGCTACCCACTGGGTCAAAACGAGGGTGTTATTTGGCGCAGCGGAATGCTGCCCGCAGGCATTACACTACGAACGCGACGGCACGACCATGGCGCAAGTCCTGCCTAAACGCCATGCGCGGTTCGCTACCTGCTAAGAGAAATGTGTCGATTTCGGTGCGCCCCTTGTGGTGTCGGTCATGCTATTGCCCTGGACGCAATGGTCGGACTTCCGCCAACAGGTCCACGTTCCCTGGGTTCCCTCCTGTCGACTTGCTTGGTTATACGCCGTGGCGCTGATCGTCACGACGAGTACTATCCGCCAATGACACAGAGTGGGGCTGGGGAATGCGCTTGATATCAGAAATCGTACACTAGGCAGCTTAGTCAGGTGTGCCTTCAATGATTATTCTACTTGGAATTACCCTGCCTTCGCACGCCTTGCTTACTATGAATATCGCATACTCTCGTCCCTACTGCGACACCCCTCGTGTGGTGTCATTTCTGCTGTGTTCCCGCTAAAACCGGCCACGTTGCCTCTGTGTTTTCTAAGATTACGATGGGCATTAGTGAACATATTGATGGTCGTCTAACCCATGCCCAACTTGAAATTCAAGTGGACCCAACTAGAATGTCTGTGCACTCGACTGACGCCCGCACCCCAGCTTTGTGACCTTGTTCATACGTAGATTTGTTTCCCGAGTTCCGTGTGAAAATGCACAGCCGGTTTGCGAGCGACAATTGTCACTTGCTGCAACCAGTTGCAATCACGTTGGTTCTCACTTCCTCAATCGCTGGCCAATCATTTAGCTGCACAATATTATTTCTCTCGTCAATTGTGTCAGACCGAACAGTAAGTTTCCCCCCCTACCCTTGCCAAAGCCTCGCCCTCCAAGCCCAAGCTATCCTCGGCCATTTCAAGCTGGGCCCGGGTTCACAATTTTGCAGTATCGTTTTAAAGCGTTTCAAGGGAGAAAACAGAGAAGATTTTCCTTGCCATGTTACAAGAAAATTAAGAAAACAAGTGGATATACCCTATGTTGACACCATTTGCTCCCCAACCCTAAGACAATCCGTCGCCTCTTGTTCAAGTTCCTAAAGTTTTTGAAACCCCTGCTTGCAAATGTAAACTGTTGCTTTAAAGGAACCTCCCTCCCCCAAAAAAAAAATATTTTGCTCCTACAGCACCTCCTCGCTACAACCCCACATCTCCACCATCCTCCTCCCGCATTCGTGCGTGGACAGAATCAAGGACCTGAGATACGCTCGTCATATTTGCCACAATGGGGTGGGCCCAATCACCCTTGGTCAACAGGAGGTGGTAGTGCAGGGAACAGGCAGAGGCGAGCGCATTGAAGACAGTAATATCGCAGTCCTCGGGGCGAATCTCCAGCACTGAACTTTGCTCCGGCATGAAGATCATGTTGGTGAGTGCCGCTCCGTGACTTGCTATGTAGAAGCGTGCTCGTGACAGGAGTGCACGGGCTGAGGAGGGCGAGGAGGGGGAAGGGTTAGCAGGCGGGGTAGGGGGAGGAAGGGAGAGAGGACAGGCGTTATGGATAAAAGTCATGTTGTTGTGTGCCGCTCCATGGGCTCCTATGTAGAAGCGTGCTCGTGACAGGAGTGCACAGGGAGAAGGGGAGTGCACAGGGAGAAGGGGAGGCACAGGGAAAGGCGGGAGTGAAAGTGGAAAGGAGGAATGTGGGAGTTCGGGATGGTGATCATGTTGATGATCATGTTGATGATCATGTTGGTGATCTCGTTTATGTTGGTGACTGCAGGTCCGCAGCTAGCTATGCAAAAAGTCATTCAAAGGAAGAGCTCACAAGCTGGGAGAGAGTGGCGCGAAGGAAGGACGAGCTGTGGCTTCAGCATTTAGGATTCTAAGCACGGAGGATTCTAGGCAAAGAGGATTCTAGGCACGGAGGATTCTAGGCAAGGAGGATTCTAGGCACGGAGGATTCTAGGCAAGGAGGATTCTAGGCACGGAGGATTCTAGGCAAGGAGGATTCTAGGCACGGAGGATTCTAGGCAAGGAGAATTCTAGGCAAGGAGGATTCTAGGCAAGGAGGATTCTAGGCACGGAGGATTCTAGGCAAGGAGGATTCTAGGCAAGGAGGATTCTAGGCACGGAGGATTCTAGGCAAGGAGGATTCTAGGCACGGAGGATTCTAGGCACGGAGGATTCTAGGCACGGAGGTCGCCGTCTCATAAATAACGACGTGGAATTGAATCGGGGGAAAGCCCCGGATACGGAGCAGAAACGAAGGAGCAAGCGCCTATCAAGGACACACCTATGTTGCAAAAGACGCATCCTGCGTCTAAGACGACTGCATCCAGACGCAGCGTCTTAGACGCAGGATGCAGGATGTGGGCCTGGGAGACGCAGCGAAAGACGCAGGCCCGGGCAGGGCGAAAAAGATGCCGGGCAGCTGAAAAAATGTTACAGGGCATGGGAAGGGGGGGGGGGGGGGGGGGGGACCGTAACACACTTTCCATGCAAATTTTCCCCAACAATAAAAATTTCCCCTAATAGTCAACATCAGAGTGAGTCACAAATTTCTCCACCCCATCCTAAGTGAACCACTTGGGGGGAGAATCACCGATCGGATTGTCATCTTTTGATCCGGTGGACGATGGAGTGGTGGAGGAAGCCATGACGGATGGAGGTAAGCTAGCTAAAACCACTAGGGTTAATGAAAGAGAATCGGGTTGCTAAAATGAAAGAACAGAAATGAGTGGTTTGTGCTAAATGGGCTTGGTGGTGTGCCACATTGGTTGAGTTTTCTAGATAGAGTGGTTGTGTGGGTTGGTTTTTCCAAATTTGCATGGAGGGGTTAGAAAGGGGGTGGGGTGGCTGTTTTTCTAGGTCGAATTGGGTTTGGGGGGGTCGACATTTCGCGAAATTGACATTCGTGTCAAAATCGCAAATGTCAATTTCGCGATCGGGAAATTTTCTGTTTTTTTTTTTTTTGGTCAGCCCGAAAATTTTGGCCGTGCGTCCTGCGCCTGGACGCGCGTCCAGCGTCCTTGCGTCCAGACGCAGGACGCATGAGGCGTCCTGCGACTTTTGCAACATAGGGACACACATTCACGGTTGCAATGCTCCAACGCACAACAAGAAAGAGAACGTGTAGCAGGAATGAACCCTCTATTTGACCCACCTTGCAGAATCGGTAGCGACCCGTTAAACACCACCACTCTCTCGCGCCCAAACCGCCGCACCACCTCCGCCTCCACCTCCACAAAATTCACCATTGAACGTTTCTGCCCCTCCGGGCGCTTTGCGAGCACCACCACCCAGTCGGGGGGAAAGGAGCGCGCTTCAGGAAGGGAGAGAGGGTGGTGGCTGCGGTAGGTCCAGTCGGGGTTGAATAGAGGGAGGCCTGTGGGGTGCAGCAGATGGCAGCGCCGCAGCAACCGCCAGAGCGACCGGCTGGGATTGTTACAGTCCTGGTATATGGGCTGGGGGATGGGGGAGGTGGGGGGAGTTGGGGGGAGGGAAGGAATGGGGGAAGACGGGAATGGGGGAGATGGAAATGGGGGGAAGAGTTTGAGGGGAATGGGGGAGATGGGCATGGGGGGAAGAGTTAGAGGGGAATGGGGGAGATGGGCATGGGGGAGATGGGAGATGTGAATGGGGGAAGAGTTACAGGGGAGATGGGATGGTCTGACGTCATGACAAGGTCTAATATGAGACGGCATGGAGATGGTGGGATATAGCATGGAATGGTATGTCATGTCATGTCATGTCATGGCATGGCATGGCATGGCATGGCATGGCATGTGAGGGCATGGCATGGCATGTGAGGATGCAGCCTACCTGGGACACCACGTCTGCATGCCATGCCATGGCATGCCATCTAAGTTGGAGTATACGCTCAGATCTGTTTGCGTTTTGAGTTTATACGCCTTAAAAAAATGACCGTTGCGCTTTTGCTGTAAAACACAGAAAAATGCTAGGGCAGACCGGAAAAAGGAAACCAGAAGCTGGGTTTGAGCTTGCGACATGGCGAACTAAAATTTGGCCTTCGCACATCGCAATCTCAACTTCGAAATTGGATTTCGAAGCAGATCTACAACAACCCCTCCTGCTCACCGTTGCGCAACCCACTTCACCCCATTCAATCTCAAATCCTTCCAACTCAATGTCGAATGGAGGAGTTGGATTCAACCAAACTCACCTCTAACAAAATAAATGCGGCTCATTTCTCCTTTCGATGTTCACCTCCATATTCTTTTACCTAGTTCCAACCGACCTCGCTCTTATCGATCCCCCTCTTAAAACCCGCAGCCGGAATTACAAAAAGTGTTTTGAGGTGTTAACACTTCCCCTCCTGAACCTGGGTGGTAACCAGGTGTCCAACCAGTAAACGTGAAGAAGTCGCACGCAACACAGTGAAGGGTCGCAAGGGTCCCTGGCAACGAGTTTGGCTGTGGGTGTGAACACCTAGCTCGAGTTTTGTAATTCAGGTCGACAGAAATCGGGGAGTTCCTAGCCTACTATCAGCCTGCGGTACTTCTTAGACCTAGATTTCTTTCTCCATCCACAGCAGTCTCAATCTTAATCTTTGCGATTGAGTGACGCACAACCGTCGCATTAGGGCGTCTCCCTTACGTCGCCTACGCTCATCCCTCCCGTCGCGTTAACATTTTGAAGTGCGGGGCCTACGCTCAACCCTCCCGTGCACGTAAACATACTCCCCTGCGACGCCTACGCTCATCCCTCCCGTCAACATATTCCCCCCCGTGGCCCACGATCACTCCCCTCCTGTCGCCTTCGCTCTTTCCCCTTCATCGACAACGCTCACTCCCTCGCGTCGTATTCGCTCATTCCCCCACGTCGCGGATGCGAACTCCCTCCAGTCGTATTCGCTCACTAACCTTCCGCACCCCACGCACACACCCTCACTCCCCTTCCGCACCCCACGCGCACTCCCTCACGTCGCGTTCGCTCACTCCCCTTCCGCCGCCCACGCGCACTCCGTCCCGTCGCATTCGCTCACTCCCCTTCCGCCGCCCGCGCGCACTCCGTCCCGTCGCGTTCGCTCACTCCCCTTCCGCCGCCCACGCGCACTCCGTCCCGTCGCGTGCAGATTACCATGACTCGCCCCTCCGTGAAGAGTCGCTACTTGTTCGCCACAAAGCACCGACATTCGCAGTCCACGGCTGGCAGCCGCGGACTGCGCGACGGCCGCTTGCGCCAAGCAGCGTGCGCACAAAGCGAGTCAACCTATTATCTACAGGTCAGAAACCGCCATTTTTCTTCCTGTACTCGTCCATTTCCGCTGCGTTATGTCTGATAATCGTGTCTCTGGTCTTTGAGCTGACTCGCCTCGTTTGTCTCCTTGCAGATTGCCACATGCTCCCCCTCGAGCACGAGGAGTCGCAGTCCTACGCACGCAGCAGCGTGCAGGCAGCAGGCGCGTACGTGACAACATACATGGCAAGCAGGCGTCACCTGTTTCCTGCAGCCACCACCAACATCTCGCCCTCGAAACGCCGTTTGTGAAGCTAAGTGCACGCTGGTAGCATGTTGCTGGTCCCCATATTCGTTGTCCCCTTTCTCTCAAACCGGGGCCACTGGTGGCAGCACAGGGTACAGCCCGCAGACCCCTCTCATTGCAAGTAAACCCCCCCCCTTGGTAAAGCCCTCAGGTAATGCCCTTACAGCAAGTAAACCCAGCCCGTGGGGTGTGTCGCTTGTGATTGCTAAGTTGCCAAATATGCTTATAGCGTATATACGCTTATCGTATATACGCTAGCGTATATAAGCTATCCGCTTAGGGGGCGATTTGGACATACGCTTTTTCGGGCAGGGAAAAAACTTCCCCGGGCAGGGAAAAAACAACCGCCAGGGCTATTATAGGGGGGAATCTAGGGTGTTATGTTTCAGAGGTGATATTTTTACCCCATAATTAGATTGCAACTCCTACACACATTGCTACATAATACTCTCCTACCGCCAGGGCTATTATAGGGGGGAATCTAGGGTGTTATTCCACGATTTTTTTAGGTCGGGCTGCCCCAAAAAAATATTTGCCAGCGTTTGGAGCACCGCCGTTGGAGCAGCGCGCAGGTAGCTTATCGCCTCCTGATGAAGGGTGAAGGTTAGAGTATCACCTCCTCCTACCGCCACACTCCACAAGAGTAACCTCCCCCGATTCAGGTGCCCGTACGTCGTATACTCTCACTCCCTTCCGTTGCCCACGCGCAGCTCCCTCCCGTCGCCTTCGCTCATTCCTCTCCGTATCCCACGCTCACTCCCCTTCCGCCGCCCACGCTCGCTCCCTCCCGTCGCGGTCGGCCCCATCCGTCACCCACCCTCACTCCACTGCCGTCACACACGCACGCACCCTCCCCTCGACAGAGAAGGCATTCTCCGCTTCCGCCACATACGCGTTCATCTCCCCATCCCTCATCTCCCCGTCCCTCATCTTCCCGTCCCTCATCTCCCCATCCCTCATATCCCCATCCCTCATATCCCCATCCCTCGTCTCCCCGTCCCTCATCTCCCCGTCCCTCATCTCCCCGTCCCTCATCTCCCCGTCCCTCATCTCACGTCCCTCATCTCTCCATCCCTTTCCTCCCCATCCCCGCCTCCCCATCGCCTTCCCTCCCCATCCCTCACCTCCCCATCACCTCACCTCCCCGTCTCTCATCTTACCATCCCTCTTCTCCCCGTCCCTCATCTCCCCATCCTCATCTCCCCATCCTCATCTCCCCATCCCACACCTCCCCATCCTTCATCTCCCCATCCCACATCTCCCCATCCCTCATCTCCCCATTCCGCCTCACCCCATTCCGCCTCCCCCCATTCCGCCACAGCCCATTCCGCCTCACCCCATTCCGCCTCCCTCATTCCGCCCCACCCCATTCTTCCTCACACCATTCCGCCCCACCCCATTCTCCGCTTCCGTCGCATACGCGTTCATCTCCCCGTCCCTCATCTCCCCATCCCTCACCTCCCCATCCCTTCCCTCCCCATCCCCGCCTCCCCATCCCTTCCCTCCCCATCCCCGCCTCCCCATCCCTTCCCTCCCCATCCCTCACCTCCCCGTCTCTCATCTTACCATCCCTCTTCTCCCCATCCCTCTTCTCCCCATCCCTCTTCTCCCCATCCCTCATCTCCCCGTCCCTCAGATCCCCATGCATACCCACCCCATGCCTCATCTCCTCATCTCCTCATCCCCGTCCCTCCCCATCCATTGTGACGTGCAATCCCCCTGTCGTCCACGCTCACTCCCTCACTCCTGTCGCCCATGCAAACTCTCTTTCCGTTGCCCAGCTCACCATTCCACCCCAACCGCCTCCCCCCTTTCCGCCTCACCCCATTTTTCCTCCCGCCCTCTCTCTATCCCCTCCTCTTCCAAACCCATTCCTCCTACCTTTCCCCATCCGTCCTTTCCCCATCCATCCTCCTCACCCCATCTCCTCCTCACCCCATCTCCTCCACACCCCATCTCCTCCTCACCCCATCTAATCCTCTCCCCATCCGATTATCTCCTCATCCGATCCTCTCCCCATCCGATCCGCTCCCCATCCGGTCCTCTCCCCATCCGATCCTCTCCCCATCCGATCCTCTCCCCATCTGGTCCTCTCCCCATCCGATCCTCTCCCCATCCTCTCCTCTCCCCATCCTCTCCTTTTCCCATCCGATTCTCTCCCCATCCGATTTTCTCCCAAATCAGATCCTCTCCCCATCAGATCCTCTCCCCATTCGATTCTCTCCCCATCCAATCCTCTCCCCAACCGATCCGCTCCCCATCCGATCCTCTCCCCATCCGATCCTCTCCCCATCCAATCCTCTCCCCATCCGATCCTCTCCCCATCCGATCCTCTCCCCATCCGGTCCTCTCCTCATCCCCCATAGCCTCGATCCTATTCTTCCCCATCCCCCTCTTCCCTGTTTCCCCCCTTCCCGCCCCCACACCCTTCTCTGCAGGGGCAACCGGAAGCACGTGCTACAGCTACTGCTGTGGCGAGCGTGTGTTTCTGCTGACACGAGTCACAAGGTGAGCCGCACCACAACATGCTCTGCTGTGCGGTTCTGTGCTCTGCTCTGCTCTGCTGTGCAGTGCTATGTAAGAACCGGTGCTCTGCGCTGCTCTGCGGCGAGACTGCTGCTCACTTTCCTCTCCTGCCTCTCTTTCCTTTATTCTCTCCTCCCTCACTTTCCTCTTTTCCCTCACTTCCCTCCTCTCCCTTCCTCTCTCCCGTCACCACACCTCATCTCCTCTGTTTCTCTCTTTCTGTCTCCTCTCATTTACTTCCAGGTGGCTGTGCAACGGGGTAAGCCAAAAGAATCCGTTCGTGGACCATCCACTATATCATACTCGCAGATTCTGTCCAGGATGCACTGTCATGGTGTCTCGAAGCGTCATACATTGTCCTTCAGCTAATGCACCTTTATTTGATCTCAGTTGGTTTATAATGTTGCCAACCATTGAGGATAAGATTGAATTGTAACTAACGGGTCACATGAGGGCACAAAACATAGAGCATGGTAGTATTACCATACTAGTCTTTATTGGGATCCTGCATACAGCATCAAGTGGGTGAGTCTTTCTAGTTTTAGATCACTACATCGCTGTCAGGCCCGGAGAAACAAACGAAGGAGGAAATTACATGCGCAGATATACACACTTCGCGTTTGGCCAACACGATGAGGAATTGAATGACCAAGCCATTTAGTCTGTACGTAATTGCGGTGCTCCTACTCGGTCAATAGACATAAATGGCTTGGACATACAAGCCTGTAACTGCAATGGAAAATGAGTGGTGGGCAAAACGGACAAGCACGGAAACAAAATGAGGATGGGGGTAAGAGAATATTGCACAAGACCACCAGGGGGACTATGGGAATGTGGAGATGCGAGGGAAATTGGGGTAGAAAGAAGTGGAGGGAGAGAGAAATAAGCAGGGTTGCATGGATGAAAGGGGGATGGGAGAGTGTGAGAATGAGGGTAAGAGAGTGAGGTTGGGGGAAGTTTGTGATTAGAGCTGCAGGTGAAACACAGTGAAGTTCAGGGACAATAGTGAGTAAGGGGAATGGAGTGAGTAAGGGGGACGAGAAAAAGTAGGATACTGGGGAACACAGTGAGTGACAGGGGGGGATCAGCGATATCAAGGAGAAACGGAGAAAGTTTAGGGGAAGCGGTATGTGAGGGGGGATGCAGAGCACTGAGACGGGAAGGGAGTGAGGAGGAGGGAATAGAGCGAGCAGAGTGGAATAGGGTGAGATGGATGAAAAGGAGGGAGCATAGGGGAAGAGAGTGCGTAGGGTGGAGACTGAGGGGGGTAATACTTACCGGTGACAAATGGGAAAAACGGGGGGAAACGGGGTAAGTGACAGGGGAAAGGGAGTGAGCTAGGGGAAATGGGAAGAGTGAACGAGGGAGAGAGAGTGGGCATGGGGGAAATGGGATGAAAGAAGGGCGAATGAGAGTGTGGTGGGGGGAATGGGATGAAAGAAGGGCGAATGAGAGTGTGGTGGGGGGAATGGGATGATGCAATGGGAATGAGATTGAGCAGGGGTGGAAAGGGGTGAGTGAAGGGGGAAAATGAGATGAGTAAAGGGGGGAAGAGAGTGAGCTGGGGGAAATGGGGTGAGTGAAGGGGGGAAAGAGAGTGCGCAGGGGGGAAATAGGATCATAGAAGGGGGAACGAGAGTGAGCAGGGCGGAAATGGGATGCGAGAAGGAGGAATCAGAGTGAGCAGGGGGTAAAAAAGACAATAGATGAGGGAAAAAAGAGTGTGAGCACGGGGGAAATGGGGTGGGGTGTGGGGAGATGAGGGTTAAGGAGGCGAGGCATGGGGAGATGAGGGATAAGGAGGCGAGGCATGGGGAGATGAGGGATAAGGAGGCGAGGCACGGGGAGATGAGGGATAAGGAGGCGAGGCATGGGGAGATGAGGGATAAGGAGGCGAGGCATGGGGAGATGAGGGATAAGGAGGCGAGGCATGGGGAGATGAGGGATAAGGAGGCGAGGCATGGGGAGATGAGGGATAAGGAGGCGAGGCATGGGGAGATGAGGGATAAGGAGGCGAGGCATGGGGAGATGAGGGATAAGGAGGCGAGGCATGGGGAGATGAGGGATAAGGAGGCGAGGGATGGGGAGATGAGGGATAAGGAGGCGAGGCATGGGGAGATGAGGGATAAGGAGGCGAGGCATGGGGAGATGAGGGATAAGGAGGCGAGGCATGGGGAGATGAGGGATGGGGAGGTGAGGGATGGGGAGATGTGGGATGGGGAGGTGAGGGATGGGGAGGCGGGGCATGGGGAGGTGAGGGATGGGGAGGTGAGGCGATGGGAGATGAGGGATGGGGAGATGAGGGATGGGGAGATGAGGGATGGGGAGATGAGGGATGGGGAGATGAGGGATGGGGAGATGAGGGATGAGGAGGTGAGGGATGGGGAGATGAGGGATGGGGAGATGAGGGATGGGGAGATGAGGGATGAGGAGGTGAGGGATGGGGAGATGAGGGATGGGGAGATGAGGGATGGCGCTGCACCTGGAAATAAACCGCTGCCTTGTCGTACGCTGCATGCGCTGACTCTAACTCTAGCCTGAGGGGAGAAAGGGCGGAGATGAGAAGGGAGAAAGGGCGGAGATGAGAAGGGAGAAAGGGCGGAGATGAGAAGGGAGAAAGGGAACGGGAGAGAGTGAGCGAAGGCGACGGGAGGGGGGTGAGCGTGGGCGACGGAAGGGAGTGTGAGTGTGCGACGTACGGGCAGTGAGCGTGGGCGACGGATGGGGAGAGAGCGTGCGCGACGGGGAGGAGTGAGCGTGGGTGACGGAGGGGAGTGAGCATGTGCGACGGAGGGATGTGCTAAGGGGGAAATGGGATTGGGCAGAAGGAAAGCAGGTGAGGGGCGGAAATGGGATGGGATGAGTGATGGGGGAAAGTGAGTGAGATGTGCCGAAACTGGATGATTGAAGGGGGCCAGAGAATGAGCAGGGGGGAAATGGGATGCAAGAAGGGGGAAAGAGAGGCAGCAGAGGGGAAGTAGGAAGTGTGAAGAGGGGGGGGCGAGTGAGCCGTGGGAAAATGCGGGCGACTCGATGGGGAAATGCGGGCGACTGGATGGGGAAATACGAGCGACGGGAAGGGGGGCGACGGGTTGGGGAAATGCGGGCGATGGGAAGGAGAAATGCGGGCGACGGGATGGGGAAACGCGGGCGACGGGATGGGGAAACCCCGGTCATGACGGCTCGGCGAAATGAGGGCAATGCGGAAATTTGATGACACTTTGTGTCGAAGGGAAGGGCTAAGGCGCCGACGGCTTGGGGAAACTCAGTCGACGTGAACGTGGAATGCGGGCGACGTGGAGGACTAAAGCTGGCGATGGGAAGAGGTAATGCCGGCGCTTAGTATTGGAATTGCGTGTGACGGGAAGGGATATTTTTTGCGCCGTGATTGCTAAATATTGGAGACGCTTCGCTCAATGAGAGATTTGGAAAGGCTAAATACGGGCGACAACAAGGCGGAATGCAGGCGAAGGGAAGGCTTACCGCGGGCGACGGGAAGGCTTTATCATGCGGGCCGACGGGAACCCTATTCCCTCGTGTCGCCTAGGATAAATGCGGTCGACGGGCAGGCTACTGGTGTTGCGCGTCGGGAGGGCTAGCATATGCGTTTCGCGTCGTGAAGGCTAGCCAATGCGTTTCGCGTTGGGCAGGCTAGCAAATGCCCTTCGCGTCCGGACTGCTAAATGCGTTTCGTTTTAGGGACGGCTAAAGGCGTTTAGCGTCAGGAAGGCCGATTGCGTTTAGTGTCGGGAAGGATAGTTGCGTTCCCTGTCCGCCACATTGTGTTCTTGGGCCGTGCACGGCGTGTGCTTGGTTAGTATCCTAGTGGTGCTAGTACAAGTCCTCTAAATAGCCCGTCGAGTAGCGAGAGGTATGTTGAGGTGTGGTAGGCTACTTCATCCCATTCAGTGGGTGCTGTGTTCACATTCTCCTCGAGTCGTCTGATTGGTAGCGACACCAGATCCTCGCTACATTGCTTTCGCTAACAAGCAGCTTTCGCAATTCCTCCGAACCTCAGATAGCCTGACCCCTTACCTAACCCAAGCCTAGCGTTGACTGAGTTTTGTAATTCAGGCTGCGGGTTTTAACCTAACAAACTGCTCGGCGAAAATTTTTGTGTGCCCGGGCCTGCGTATTCACTGCGTACCAGACTCCTCCCAAGAAGCGTTCGGCGTTTATACGTTAGCGGGTAAACGATAGCATATGAAACGCGAAATGTGTATACTCCAATTGAGCATGCCATGCCATGCCATGCCATGCCATGCGATGCATACATGGTCTACCTGGTACACCACATCGGCATGAAAGATATCGTCCCCAGATGTGGGCAGCAGCCGAATCTGATCTGCTGGGATGCCAACGAGTGGCACACCCAGCTGCTCGTACAAACGCACCTGTGGTGAGAGGCACGGAATGACATGATTTAGGCAAAAGATAAGAATGATTTGTTGATTCGTTGATTCGTTGATCGACTCGATGTATGATCATGAGAGGCGCGCCCAGCTGCTCGTACAAACACACCTGTGGTGAGAGACATGGGACACGAAATAGGCAGATGGATGGTGGGTCAACCAACAGTTGTGCCCACCCCACAGCACAGCAGGGAGCAGCAATTGGGCAGCATGGCGCAGCAATTGGGCAGCAGGGCGCAGCAATTGGGCAGCAGGGCGCAGCAATTGGGCAGCAGGGCGCAGAAAATGGGCAGTAGGGCGCAGCAGCTGCTATTGCTGCCGGCTGGCTGCAATTGCAAGACATGCAGGCGCATCTGTCAAACCCCACCTCGCCAGTTCTAGCGAGCAGGCAGGTGTCGCAGCGTGGCCATTTGGAAAATTCTCATGAGAGCAGGTGCTAAGCTTTAACCCCAACTGGCAAGCAGGTGCTCAAATCAAATCCCAAACCCCACGTGGACGCCCCTGGAAAGCAGGTGCTTGAATCAAGCTTTGAGATCCCTCAAAACTGTAAGGCATGCGCTGCTTGGATGGGCTCAAACATCTCCAAAATGTAATGTCCCAGATGTGACCCCCACGTGACTTTTAGGCAACATTTGGGTCCGTTTGCACTCTGACCCAAAAGTCACTTTAGGGTCTGTCACTTTAGGCTACCTATAGGTCAGGTACGGGTAGCATTTGGGTGCCTAAAGGTAACATCAGGGTCTCATGTCGGTCACAAACATGTTTGATAAGGGTCACATTGAGTCTCCTAAGACACATTGACCCCAGTCTATTTTGTCCCAAAACTGACCTGGGGGTCACCAAATGGACAAATTTGGGTCAACTTCGGGTCACATTGTATGCTTAAAGCCATGCCTACATCCCCTCTATAACGTGTGCATTTGCCGTGTACAACGCTAGGATACAATGAACCCATGAAGAAATTAGAACACCATATATCGTTACATCAATAATCACACCAAAAAGGCCCCCAGAGTCTGGTCACAATCTCTAAACAAAAAGCCCCCCTCTACGAGGTCCACATCCCTGTACGACACTATGGAGGCCCAACAATGCCATGTCCGCGGCACTACTACATTCACACAAGCCAAGGCGTCGACATGTCGCCTGGCCGGTCCATCAACCCGCCATACTGCACCGGCATATACTCCTCCAAATCAGACACGTTGACGTACAGATGCTGCTTGCCCCAACGGAACCCCTGGACCTTGGGGCAGTACCACCTGCCCCGTGCCACGGCCAGCCACTCTCTGATCACCGCAAGCACCCCCTCCACACAGTGGGCAAACGCCCCCTCATTGTCCAGGGGGCTAGGGGTCATGCAGATCGCCGTCGTCCTCATGTTCTGCATGCCAAAATCAAACTGCCATGGGGTTGCACACGTGAACAACTCAGTTGCACACACACAACCACTTTTCGTATGCACGGAAAACCAACCACCACTCACAGAGAATAGGACCCACGCGATGTGGTACGGCACCAGAACAAGGTTGCCGCCAAAAACCCAATCAGGGTATGCCGCCTTGCATGCTTGGAAGAACACAAGGGAAGTGAACGGCCTCAAATCCCCTTCCTCGCAGCTCCAGCTCGAAACCACATCCCCATCCTCTGCCCACGGAGCATGCAGACATCGAGGGGAGAAGAGAGCACAATTTTAGTCCCAGCAACCCTCTACCGAAGCAATGCATGCTCTCGCCCACACCCTACACTCACTGGGTCCATAACGCCCCCAACATTCATCCTTAGTCCCCTGGTCAACTTCGAGGCAGTATATGCCTGGCGCAGACACCTCCAGCTCTAGCCCATCGACGATTTGCCGCCGCCCTTTGGCTGACGAATCGCTCCGGAACTTGGCCCACAACTTGTTGACTACTTTACTGTATGCGGGCTTTCTCATAGCGTTGTCGACGTCAAGCTGGCACACGTCGTAAAAGCAGCGCAGGATTGTGAGGAGAGCCACGTTTCTCTCCTCATCTGTGGGCCAGTAAGTGACGCCATGCGCAGAACATGAGCGCAGCAGCAGGTTCAGCGCCTTCTTCGCATAGAACTGGCATAAAGGGGGGTGTTGCAGTGGGAAGAAATAGGAAGACGAGTGTGAGTTGGCGTGGCCCGTTGTACACGACCGTGTACAAGGGTCTAATGCAAACAATAGCTGGTCCTAACCATGCGTCCAAAACACTGAACAACCAAATACTGACATTGAATGACTCACCCCAATTTCCTTAGCAGATGGCATTCCTGGCAGCAAACCGTCTTTTCCCGCCGTAGGATTGTAGTCGACAACGATGTTAATCCGAGAGGTTGGTCGATCGCGCTTCACGCCTCTGCCACCACTTACCCGTGGCGCTCTATCCCACGCACCATTATCAGCTGCCACTGGGCCTCTGCCTATGTTCAGCGGGCCAGCCTGAACACGCACAGGCGCAGGTGGATTCCCCGCTGCATCCAAACGTCCAGCTCCTGCAAGCCTGTTAACCGCGAAGCCGCGATTCGGCAGTTCAACTGCCGCTTGCTCGATGTCGTGTCCCGCAGCACTTGGCGCCGTGGGTGTCGGCTCTGAGCGGGAGGCGTTCCCCCGAATCCCGCTCTGCTGTGGGCCTGCAGGCGTATTGTCGTGAGTGCCCACCACCGGCTGCATTGCTGCTACGGCTGGCGCGCCTGCCTCCCGTCCTGGGCCCTCCTGTCCTGTTACGGGGTCGCGCATTCCCGCTAATGCGGCGTGCAGATCCTCGTCGAGCGTGTAGTTCGAGGCCCTCTCCTTGGCTGATGAGTCCGACGCGTTCGTCTCTTTGGGCTGCCCTGACAAATGTCCACAACTTCTTAATCTCCTCCATAGCACGTTCAGGGTCTGCACCTCCCGTATGGCCGTCGCCACGGCTTGCATCCTTACCGATGCCGCGAATAACAGAATCGGACCTTGTTGGAACACAGGGGGTAGGAATCATGCCAGGCAAAGCGGTGTCCTTCTCCTGTCCAAGCTCCTGCATATGGGTCGAGAGTTCTACCAGGGGCGTTGCAGGTGAGAAGTTAGAAGGCGAGGTAGCCGCTGTGAGGCAGACCGTCCTAGGCGGGGAAGTAAACAAGGGCCTGTGGACCGTCCATCCTTGACACGGCGCTTTCCGAGATGGTGTTGGGCTGGTCTCTCTGACTCCACCACTCTGCCGTATACTCGCAGTCGGCGTTCTTGGCAATCCAGCGGCATAACCATACTGCACCGGCACCCTGACACCCTCCACTGCGCACAAAAGGGGTGTGACCGGGGGGGGGTCGACGTTGTTTGTGTCCCTTCATGGTGAAGCGGGGAAGCCATGCGCCATGGGCCACCCGAATGGTCGTTCGAGGGTGCCTCTGACTTCACTCGCTTCCCTGCATGGGCGATGGCGGCCTGTTGTGAGCCAGGCGCTGGAAGTACATTGCTCTTCTGTGCATAGATGTTTATGAATGATCGCCTCATTGCAGAAGCAGGACTCGGCACAGCCGAGACACGCCGAATCACAGACCTCCGCAGTAACCCTCTCGCCCGGTTTCCTTTGGTGAAAGATGCCCGGGAGCGCTTTGTGCTTGGGCCTTGTTCTCCCCCTCCGCACTCCTGAGTTCCTGCGATATCAGTGTTGTAAGAGGGAGGAGGCGAGTTATCAGTCTCCCCTTCCGACTCGGCAGAGCTTGCTACCCAGTCCTCGTCGTCCGACTTATCCTCGCCTTCGCTGGATGATGAATCTGACGTATGAGCGTCATCCGCTTTCGCCTCCGAGCACGATGAGTGTTGGACGGTGAACAGGAGTTCGTTGTACTTTAACCATGCCTCTGGCCCCAGGTCGGTGCTGCGTGGACCACCGTGTTCAGTATCCCCGCTAATCCCCGGTCGCACACCTGCAACAACAAACATAACGCTACTTAGTAGCGTGGTCAGTAAATGCTTCAATCTTAAACATCTCTCCGCTACTGCCCACTTGCGACTGTAAGATATCACAAATCAAACACTCCTGAGTGACATAACTAAGCCAAGCGTAATACCTTTTGCGTGGCGAGAGTTCTCTGCCGGATTCTCGGCGGCAAAGGTAATGTCCTCCAACTTCTTCGTATGTAGCCTTCGCTGCGTCTCTCGCTCACGGTGCACCTCGTCCTCTGTCTTGCCATATGGTTTTGGCAGCTCCGGCTCGCGTGTGACGGCGGATTCACCCGGAGAGCGGATACGTTGTCCCGGAGGCAGGTGCCGTGAGCCACGTAGACGCCGAGTACGATATTCGGAGAGGAGCTGCCGTGTGCGCTGACTCGCTGCTAACCATTTATGGTCAGGCGCTCTGGTTCGCACTGTTGACACCACAAAGTCGTTCGAATTCAGGTGCGCTGGCAGCCTCCGGTCTCTAACGGGACGTTCTAAGGTCAGAGTCATTCTTGTGACCCTCTGCTATCCTCTAAATGCTGAAAGCCCCAATCACCACTTCTGCCCGCTCGGCTCGACCTAGGGTTTCAACAAACGAGCGTTGCAGCGACAAAGAACGAAAGCAAAAAGCTCCAACCAACCAGAAGTTCCCTCCATAAATTATGTACGCACATACCTTCATGTCTCGAGGGCACCGAGAGCCGTTGATGTCGTGAGGGTGTTTTAGGGCGATCTAGGCCGTCCATCGGGATACAGCACAGCGTGGGTTTGTTGGATGGAAATGGACCACGCGTACCGAACATGCCAAGCGGCGTAATTCGATTGGGCGTCTCTCCCATACAACCAAAACGAGGTGGGTACAGTTGCGATGGGACGCCAAACCCCATCGGCTGAGCTATCTTGTATCGCCCCTGCTACCGCAGTCGCCTTCTATATGTATCATACGAGGGTAAGCCAACGTCATCCAATACCTCGGGCGTAACAATGACCTCAGATTGACCCCTGTCTGACTTTCCGGAGAAACAAACCTTGCAAAGCGGACTTAACCGAGTCCAATACCGCTTCCACCGTTTAATGAAAGAGCCTACCGCAACGACCCACAAATAACCCTGTTGCACACTAGCCAGATTGGTAACCATCGGTGTGCACTGGTTGAGTGGGGCGGAAAAACGCGCCCCACGCAAGTATATCGATTATCTTACACCCAGCCGAGGCGTGGCAGTTTGTCGCTGGGAGAAAGGACACACTATTCAGAGCCTGATTGTTGCTTACCTACTTACAAGTTTCACCGTGGCTATGTGCTGATGGCTCCTAAAAAGGCATTAAATACCTCGGCCCGTTCACGCAAATGGAGCATCCCCTATCCTCTAGGTGGCTCCTGGTTACAGCTGACGCCGAGACAGCTGGACACTCTCGACCCCGAGTCGTGGGTTTCTGGCGACATCATCGAGTGGTGGGGGATGTGAGTAGCCAGTACCCTGTATTACGCTTATGACTCACCAGGCCATGACATATGTGTTGACGTTGTACGTTGTACGGGCGTTCTTCCTTTCCAGCATGTTGCAATACGAACAGCCTGTCGATGTCCGTACCTGGCTATACGCGGGTACCTTTTCTACACGCTGCTGGCTCGCAACAACCCTTCGGGTGCGCTGCACAATTTTGCGTGCGGCAAAAATGTATTGACATATAAATGGGTCTTGGTCCCCATCCATGACAAGTGAGTCCGCGTTCCGCATGTCGCGTCCCCATGCCGCATGTTCACAGCCTCTGAAAATAGACACGCGTTGCGAGCTGTCGAGTCCGCAGGGGTCATTGGAGTTTGGTGGTCATTGACAATGACGGGCCAGTAGACGACCACGCGCTCCCCCGACCTACACGCATCCTTCACGCCGACTCGCTGGAGTTACACACTGACATTGTTGACCCCATACTGCGGTAAGTACCCGGTTGCGTCCTCCCACTCGGCGTTGCTCGAATCCTCACGCATATACACCTCGACTTGTGTGTTTGTACCGTGTGCACAGTTACCTCGTCCAGCAGCTTAAAGGCTACCGCCCCTTGGTGACGGACGTGGAAGCCCAGGAGTGGGGGTCTCGTGTGCACCTTGTACCCATGGAGGTAGTGTGCTGTCAACCCCCCCCCCCCCCCCCCCCCCCCCCCCCCCCCCCCCCCACCCCTTTTGTTCGACGCATCTGTATATGGGTTCAATTTGTTGAGCATGCCACGATACTCATTTGCAAATGTCCCGGCCACCCTTTATATTGCAGGTTACACGCCAAACTAACGCTCACGACTGTGGTGTGTTTGTCATGAAGTTCATGCAAGTGCTGGTTGAATCAGGATTTCGGACCACCTCGTCCATTGCCCTTTATGGAGAACCCACGGAATGGAGGGAGGATATCAGGGAAGACCTTCTAGCCTGGAGTGCGTGGTACCCTCATCAGATCGGCGAACTATGAGTGCCTCTAGAGCAACTTAGTAGAGTAAAACTTCCTTGTAAACGTGCTGTTTCGGATATATGTTGTGGCTATAATGGCAATGCGTGGACAGCGAATTGGAAATATAAAATATAGGGACATCTCCAAATCAATGTATGTACCATCTAGCCTCAAGTGAAATACGCAGTTGTACTGCACTTAATTGTACAGTGCGCTTGCCACGGCGGGTCCCTGCCCTTCGCCAAAAGCGGGTGTATTCGAAACCCTAACACCATGAGGCTTGCTCCCGAGCAGATTTTGCTCTCCCGATTACAATGGCTGCGCGGCGGGACCTGCCAGGTCCTCAGTGCAAGAATGCAACTACACAGGTGCTAGGCAACGCATGTACCGCTGGCCCCGATCGGACAGGCCCGTACACCGGTCTTTCGGAGTCTGTTCTACGGTCCGGTGCTTTTCTGCTTCCTGCCTTCAACCCGAACGCGCATGTTATCAACCATGACTGCACAGATCCGAGGTTCGCTGGCGACTCCCAGGCCATCGGCGTCGCCAACGACCCCGCTGGGCATGGACAGGGAGAACCGGAACAGCGCCGGGTGCCTCTAGGTGAACCCGTGGACGCGCTCGAGGACGCGGAGACGCATCTCGAGATAGACTCACCTGACCCTTGGACCGAAACACCAGCGACCGAAGAAGAGCAGCTAGCTCGTTCGGCTCATGCATATGGAGACGAGCCCTAAACCGCCACAATGTGTGAGACAGGGCAGCGACAACAACCGGCGTACGGCGACCATGCCATTCGTCTTGACCCACAGGATGTCAACCGTGATCCCATGGCTCTGAACCGTATAGAACGGGACCTAGTGGACGCTACAGTCAAGCGCTACGACCGTGCTCGACAGGACGGGGTGAATCTCATGCATGTGGATCGCGACCACCCAGATGCTCGGGAGAGGAAACGTTGCCTTGACGAGGGGGGCGGCGGCGACAAGTTTGTCGCTGCACGGCGGACATTACACGCGCTAGTCTCCCCCAAATCCGCCAAACCACCAGCACCTACGTCACCCTCTGGTAAAGATGTTCCAGGACGCCATACGGAGACGTGTCGAGGTAACATGCTCAAGGGGGAGGGAGGCTTGTCTGACCCCTCTGCCTACAAACAGACAGGTGACGCGTATGGCGTACCCTGTCACAAACCCGGCGATGGATCCACAGAGGCTCAGCGTGAGGACAATGTCAAGCCGGCCTGCAGCGGGGGTGCTGGTCATACTGCCGGTGAACGACGACCGCCGACACTTGGTGCACAGGGGAGGCCTGACAACGATAAGGGTAAGCTCACACCTCACTCTGTATGAACCACGGGTACATGAGGGACATGCACAATCGAAATAGACGGATTATCCCTGCCTCCCGCTTTACAGGTCCCCCCCCGCCTAGGAGTGCGCGTTCCGATGCGGCACATGCCAAGCAATTCACGACGCTAGTCGGTGGAGGTGAGTTGGTAGGAGCCAGTGAGGCATAAAGGGCGATGCCATGCGGGTTGGGTCTGCTCTTTATGTACAACTTGAATTTTCCTTCACCTATGCTCGTTTGCAGTCGTGCAGCGCCTCCCCAACTTCGACACGGCCATATTCTTCATGAATGTGGTTAACCAACTTTTGCCCGCGACATCTCCTGAACGACCATGCCATGATGGTGAGGACGCAAAAGCAAAACACGCACCGACATGCGGTTTCTTGTCTAGTCATCAAATGGGTGGGGTTGTTAACAGTTGGTTCGTACTGCCATACTCCCACCCGCACCAGATTCAGGTGCACCATGCCTTCCCAACTATGACACAGCTATTTCCTTCATCGAGGTTGTGAACCGTCTTTTGCCGTCGCCATCTCCCAAGCGACGCCGCCAATACAGTGGGGATGTGTAGCTGTGTTGTTTTTATATTTATTGCAGTTGATGGGTAGTGGCAACCCTAAATCACACTGTGGTACATTTTTGAGGCTGAGGCTAGGGCACAACTCGAACGACGATGTGAGGCGTTTTGGAACGCCACAAGGTGGCCTACTCTTTGTTGAGTGTCCATTTAAGTATGGTTTCCTCCGCACAAGGTGTTAGAATTTGCGCATGTATTGCTTTCCACCACACACTAGCTAACCGGAAACGCGACTTTTCCTGTAACGAAATACAGGGGTTAGGGCGCAGCTGCATTGTGTTCGTCGAGATGTCCACACCCGATGTTGGTGCTGTAACAGCTTAAACAACCATACTTAGAGCGACCGCCATCCCACACTCCGTTTAAACATCTCATCTAAATAGTTCTCAAACCGCTCGGTGTTAGTACCACTGGATACAGCGTACTGGGCCGTCAATTCGAGGGGAATTCAATAGGGAACCCTAGATGCGCGACTTGTTTTCCTTGCAGCTAGTCACTCGACACTACTTTAGATTCACAGAATAGGCTAATAGGCACTATGTAGACGACCGAGATGCCGTGGGAGACGTGCAGCTTCTGTGGGAAGCTGCTAAAGACTTACGGTGGGTTGCGGAGACACCAAAACTGCAACAAACGTTGCCTTTACGAGCAGGATAGATTGGCGACATTAGGAATTCCGTACGGAAGGTTCTATGTAGCTCCTATCATAACGATAGTTCACGCAGATGGGAGTAGGAGCGTGGAGCCGTGGGAAGCGCACAGAGCTGAAGATGGAGAAGATGTGGAGATGGATGACGAGGACGGGGAGGCCTCCTCGTCCATGGAGTCCGCGCCCTCAGTGGACTCTGTGGCGTCGGATGACGTGACGGGGTCGGATGGACAACGAGACATTAGGTTCGAAATAGCGCGCATTGCACGCAAATATTTTCTTCCAAATACAGCCATAACTGACATCATTCAGCTTTTCAAAAGAGGGAGCGAGGGACCGACGGAGGTGGAACTATGGGAGACGTATCGAGATTTAGAGCGGTTCGAAGAAGAATTTCTGTCCAATGGAGAGGAGTGGGAGTCAGCGGACATAGAGCTGCCGGGGGGGATAGGGTTCATGACCTTTCGGTACAAACGTCTCGTACCTGTGAGTAAGCTCCTCTCGAATGCACGTGACGCCCCTGCATAGTGGTCAAGACCCAACGACGTTTTAGCCCCTCACACTCGTACATGCCGATGGCAGATCCCATTGAGAATGTGGGAAAAGATGTCCCGAGTCGCTGGCTTCACCACTAAACCACGGGAGGTGAAGGTGGATAATGTGAGGAGGTATGGCGCGGCGGTGGAATGTGACTGGTTTCACCGGGCAACGGTGTGTGGTAGGTTTGCTTTCTACATTTAGTCGGACCCCGATAGCATGTACCGCACTCGGATGGATTATAACAACGCAATGTGTCGTCCAAACACCTTATACGGCTGTGTGCGCGCACTACATGGCAGGAGGCGTTGCGCGGAGCTGGGGTCGTGGCGGGGGTGATATTGTTCAGTGATGCAACACACCTGACGTTTAATGGGAGACAGTTGGCTCATCCGATGATGTTTTCGCTGTATAACATCCCAGAGGAAGCGAGGTGGCTGGACGGAGGCGTGGAGATGGTGGCCCTGTTCCCGACACTTCCGTCCGCATTGACCTCAGAGCAAAAGACAGCGGCCATGCACGAGATGCTTGGCATTGTGCTAGGGCCTCTCATGGCTCTATCTTCTGTCGCGAGGTACGTTCTCGATTGTGGGACGTGGGGCAATGGGTGGGCGGGGGGTGGTGGTTCTGGCTTAGTTGGCGTGTGTTAACCTGATTTGTAAGCGCAAGTATGCCATCTGTATGCACGCCTGACACTACGTTCCGAGCCTTGTGTGCGCAGTGGGGGAATTCGGGTCACGGACCATTTGGGCGGGAAGTCCACAGTGTTTCCTCTGCTGGGCAAGTACGTGTGCGACCAGCCTGAGTCGAGCATGGTGACATGCACATGGGCAGCCACCTCGAATCAACCCTGCTCGCTGTGCATCGTCAGCAAGTGGGACCTTGCGGACCTCACCAAGGCAATCGAGCCCCGAACGGTGAAGGACCAGAAGGACGTGTACAAACGGATGGAGAAGGCCTCTGCAAAGAGGCGCAATAGAGTGAGGTCGGCGTGGTGCACACACTTCGTGAAGGTGAGCGTTGAAACGCTCAGAAGGCCAGAAGTGGGTGAGGACCCTATCGTGTTGTGCGGCAGCCGGCGAGGTAGTTGTGCCTGGTGAGGTGAGAAGGCAACAAAAGAGAGGTGAGGTGGCGGGGATGAGAGGTGGGGTGGGTTAACAGAGACGTGAGTAGGTTGGGAGATAGATGATTAGGCTTATCCAGAGGTGAACATGTAGGGTGAGAGGTGTGGTGGCAGGAAGAGAGCCCTGTTGGCCGAAGGAGAGGTGAGCATGCAGGGAGAGAGGTGAGCATGCAGGGAGAGAGGTGAGCATGCAGGGAGAGAGGTGAGCATGCAGGGAGAGAGGTGAGCATGCAGGGAGAGAGGTGAGCATGCAGGGAGAGAGGTGAGCATGCAGGGAGAGAGGTGAGCATGCAGGGAGAGAGGTGAGCATGCAGGGAGAGAGGTGAGCATGCAGGGAGAGAGGTGAGCATGCAGGGAGAGAGGTGAGCATGCAGGGAGAGAGGTGAGCATGCAGGGAGAGAGGTGAGCATGCAGGGAGAGAGGTGAGCATGCAGGGAGAGAGGTGAGCATGCAGGGAGAGAGGTGAGCATGCAGGGAGAGAGGTGAGCATGCAGGGAGAGAGGTGAGCATGCAGGGAGAGAGGTGAGCATGCAGGGAGAGAGGTGAGCATGCAGGGAGAGAGGTGAGCATGCAGGGAGAGAGGTGAGCATGCAGGGAGAGAGGTGAGCATGCAGGGAGGGAGGTGAGCATGCAGGGAGGGAGGTGAGCATGCAGGGAGGGAGGTGAGCATGCAGGGAGGGAGGTGAGCATGCAGGGAGGGAGGTGAGCATGCAGGGAGGGAGGTGAGCATGCAGGGAGGGAGGTGAGCATGCAGGGAGGGAGGTGAGCATGCAGGGAGGGAGGTGAGCATGCAGGGAGGGAGGTGAGCATGCAGGGAGGGAGGTGAGCATGCAGGGAGGGAGGTGAGCATGCAGGGAGGGAGGTGAGCATGCAGGGAGGGAGGTGAGCATGCAGGGAGGGAGGTGAGCATGCAGGGAGGGAGGTGAGCATGCAGGGAGGGAGGTGAGCATGCAGGGAGGGAGGTGAGCATGCAGGGAGGGAGGTGAGCATGCAGGGAGGGAGGTGAGCATGCAGGGAGGGAGGTGAGCATGCAGGGAGGGAGGTGAGCATGCAGGGAGGGAGGTGAGCATGCAGGGAGGGAGGTGAGCATGCAGGGAGGGAGGTGAGCATGCAGGGAGGGAGGTGAGCATGCAGGGAGGGAGGTGAGCATGCAGGGAGGGAGGTGAGCATGCAGGGAGGGAGGTGAGCATGCAGGGAGGGAGGTGAGCATGCAGGGAGGGAGGTGAGCATGCAGGGAGGGAGGTGAGCATGCAGGGAGGGAGGTGAGCATGCAGGGAGGGAGGTGAGCATGCAGGGAGGGAGGTGAGCATGCAGGGAGGGAGGTGAGCATGCAGGGAGGGAGGTGAGCATGCAGGGAGGGAGGTGAGCATGCAGGGAGGGAGGTGAGCATGCAGGGAGGGAGGTGAGCATGCAGGGAGGGAGGTGAGCATGCAGGGAGGGAGGTGAGCATGCAGGGAGGGAGGTGAGCATGCAGGGAGGGAGGTGAGCATGCAGGGAGGGAGGTGAGCATGCAGGGAGGGAGGTGAGCATGCAGGGAGGGAGGTGAGCATGCAGGGAGGGAGGTGAGCATGCAGGGAGGGAGGTGAGCATGCAGGGAGGGAGGTGAGCATGCAGGGAGGGAGGTGAGCATGCAGGGAGGGAGGTGAGCATGCAGGGAGGGAGGTGAGCATGCAGGGAGGGAGGTGAGCATGCAGGGAGGGAGGTGAGCATGCAGGGAGGGAGGTGAGCATGCAGGGAGGGAGGTGAGCATGCAGGGAGGGAGGTGAGCATGCAGGGAGGGAGGTGAGCATGCAGGGAGGGAGGTGAGCATGCAGGGAGGGAGGTGAGCATGCAGGGAGGGAGGTGAGCATGCAGGGAGGGAGGTGAGCATGCAGGGAGGGAGGTGAGCATGCAGGGAGGGAGGTGAGCATGCAGGGAGGGAGGTGAGCATGCAGGGAGGGAGGTGAGCATGCAGGGAGGGAGGTGAGCATGCAGGGAGGGAGGTGAGCATGCAGGGAGGGAGGTGAGCATGCAGGGAGGGAGGTGAGCATGCAGGGAGGGAGGTGAGCATGCAGGGAGGGAGGTGAGCATGCAGGGAGGGAGGTGAGCATGCAGGGAGGGAGGTGAGCATGCAGGGAGGGAGGTGAGCATGCAGGGAGGGAGGTGAGCATGCAGGGAGGGAGGTGAGCATGCAGGGAGGGAGGTGAGCATGCAGGGAGGGAGGTGAGCATGCAGGGAGGGAGGTGAGCATGCAGGGAGGGAGGTGAGCATGCAGGGAGGGAGGTGAGCATGCAGGGAGGGAGGTGAGCATGCAGGGAGGGAGGTGAGCATGCAGGGAGGGAGGTGAGCATGCAGGGAGGGAGGTGAGCATGCAGGGAGGGAGGTGAGCATGCAGGGAGGGAGGTGAGCATGCAGGGAGGGAGGTGAGCATGCAGGGAGGGAGGTGAGCATGCAGGGAGGGAGGTGAGCATGCAGGGAGGGAGGTGAGCATGCAGGGAGGGAGGTGAGCATGCAGGGAGGGAGGTGAGCATGCAGGGAGGGAGGTGAGCATGCAGGGAGGGAGGTGAGCATGCAGGGAGGGAGGTGAGCATGCAGGGAGGGAGGTGAGCATGCAGGGAGGGAGGTGAGCATGCAGGGAGGGAGGTGAGCATGCAGGGAGGGAGGTGAGCATGCAGGGAGGGAGGTGAGCATGCAGGGAGGGAGGTGAGCATGCAGGGAGGGAGGTGAGCATGCAGGGAGGGAGGTGAGCATGCAGGGAGGGAGGTGAGCATGCAGGGAGGGAGGTGAGCATGCAGGGAGGGAGGTGAGCATGCAGGGAGGGAGGTGAGCATGCAGGGAGGGAGGTGAGCATGCAGGGAGGGAGGTGAGCATGCAGGGAGGGAGGTGAGCATGCAGGGAGGGAGGTGAGCATGCAGGGAGGGAGGTGAGCATGCAGGGAGGGAGGTGAGCATGCAGGGAGGGAGGTGAGCATGCAGGGAGGGAGGTGAGCATGCAGGGAGGGAGGTGAGCATGCAGGGAGGGAGGTGAGCATGCAGGGAGGGAGGTGAGCATGCAGGGAGGGAGGTGAGCATGCAGGGAGGGAGGTGAGCATGCAGGGAGGGAGGTGAGCATGCAGGGAGGGAGGTGAGCATGCAGGGAGGGAGGTGAGCATGCAGGGAGGGAGGTGAGCATGCAGGGAGGGAGGTGAGCATGCAGGGAGGGAGGTGAGCATGCAGGGAGGGAGGTGAGCATGCAGGGAGGGAGGTGAGCATGCAGGGAGGGAGGTGAGCATGCAGGGAGGGAGGTGAGCATGCAGGGAGGGAGGTGAGCATGCAGGGAGGGAGGTGAGCATGCAGGGAGGGAGGTGAGCATGCAGGGAGGGAGGTGAGGTGCGGTCAGAGCGGTGAGTTGGTTGGCGGAGGGTTGAGCGGCGCGCAACGCCCCCAAGGAGCAGCGATGAGGTGAGGTTGGCGTGGAAGACCTAAACTCGAGTCTGGTTTGTGCCCCGATGGGTTGTGCAGTGCGCATTGTGGGAGTGGGCTCACGTGGACACGGAATGGGGCAACCTGTACGAGGCGATTGGTGTGTGCATCATGCATGTGGTGGATGAAGGGCTATGGCTACACACCATGCGGGCCATTTGCGCGAAACTGACACCCAGCGAGCTGGCAATCCTCTTGAGGTGAATACGATGTCACCTTCTGCAGTGGCGTCCTTGTACATTGCCGCATGGTTGCCTTGACCGTGTTGTTGGATCACCGTGTTTGCGTCGCCGGACTGACGCACGTCTCCACTCCCATTGGTTGTGACCCAGCCAGTGCGAGGCGGTCATGGACGTGACGCCCCCGTCCGTTTTGAGGCATCCAGACCCGACGGCGTATTTTGGGACGGTGTCCCAGTACGCCGCGTGGGAGCATCGAGCGATGATGCAGATCGTCCCGCTTGTCGTTCACTTGCCTGGCCATGAGGACATCGCCAGTGCAGTCATCCTTTTCAGCGACTGGTACCGCGCCTATTTCCGCGTCGAGTATCACACGGACGCATCCCTTGACGATGCCATGATCAAGACCCAAGAGTAAGTTGTTTTCCTGCATGGTGTACCGACCCTTGAATTGTTTGTCAAAAGGTAGATATGTGTGTACGGGCATGCATCGCACGTATGCTACCTTGCGGACCCTTTTTCTGACCCAATACGCAGGCTGATTGGAACGCTAAAGCAGGTTTTCCCCAAGCAGAAGTCGCAGTGGCGTCTCCCGAAGGTGCATCAGCTAGCGCACCTTCCAAAGGCTATCAAGATGCACGGCATGCCGTCAGAGTACACGACAAACACGTACGAGGCCATGCACAAGAGGTGCTGCAAATGGCCTGCTAGGAACTCGAACTGGCGAGACGTTGGACGGGACATTGCGCTTCGCCACGCACGCAGCGAGGCCGTACGAGTACTTGGGCGGGAGGAGGGTGGGAAGGTGTACGAGACTGCCATGAGGGAGGTGAGAATACGGAGGAGTTTATGTATGTTGTCCATCCTCTGTGGATCCAGTGGCCATGCGTCAGCAAACAATTCTCCAATGTAATATCTCTTGGGGTTCAGCGGTGCATACATGGAGACATTGGAGATTGTCTCTGCCAACAAAGTGGCCACCTTTCGATGCCTCTCTATGTGCTTGTACGGATGAGGGGAGCACGGGGGGGGGGGGGGGGGGGGGCTGCAGGACTCTGTGTGAAAGGTCACTTACGTGGGGTCGGGCGAAGCCTTCAGGGAAGTGACCGTGGGGTGAGACCCCCCAGCGTGCCTGGACGTTGCGGCTATGTATCTACCGCGTGTTATAGCCAGGCTATGGGAAGGTGCATGTGATGTGTCGTAGGATACAGGGTTATGGTGGCGCGTCAACGCGTGCCACCTGCATGCTGCCGGTGCATATTTCAACGGCACAACCTCACCCCTGAGTGTTGGCATTCAAGACTGCAAACTAAGCATGAGTGTCCCTAAGTGTGTCTGTGGACTTTGCATTGCATGATTGGCAGGCGGTGAAGCTCAACACTCGGGTGTTGACCAGGCGCAGCCGGCGCATCGGGGTCGGAGACTCGCAAGACACTGTGTGGGCGGAGTATGGATCTGCGCTGGGCGTTGACATCATGGACGGTATTGAGGATGTGCTTGACCGTGCGGGGATTGCAGATACACCCTTGCAGGTGCGGTGTCGCAACACTGGGAGCGACTTATGATTATGCGGCCATGCGTTGGGCAAAGGGATTGTACCCCAACTAGTGGGTTCTTGTTTTTTTGTAACGCGCTACCAACACTGGACTCCCGTCTTATGGGCAGGTGCACACGGCGTTGGCAATCCCCCCTCACGACCGCATGCGCGGACGTGGTTCGCCCGGTCACATGGTGAAGGCGTCACCTGGGGAGGGGAAGTTCAACTATGTGGCGATTTCTGGTGGGGGGGCGGAGTGGTTTGCCCGCTGCCTTATGCTTTTCCACTGCAAGGACGGCGAGGGGCAGATCCACAGGCGTGCTGTCGTCAAGTATTTCACAGAGCATCCGACGAAGTGCCCGTTGACAGGCTGTATCCGGCTCGTGCCAACGGTTGGGGAGGACGAGTATGCGGTTATTGAGTTGGAGAGCATTTTGTCGCTTGCCCACATTGTGCCATGTTTCTCGGAGCGGCGATTCTCCCTGGTCAACCGCTTTTTGTGGGATGCGTGAGGATGGGGAGGGTCTTTGGTGAAGGATATGTTTGCTGATCAGGGGGACTTGCACCCCCCCCAACACATGCTGGTTTCGTTTTCTGTTGGAATGAGTTCGCATAGGGTCCTTGACAACTTGCATCGTTGGGAGTAGGCGTGTTGATGTGGTCCCGCGCGCAGGATCTTGGCTTCAATATATTCATGTTGACCTTTGTGATGTTGTGTGGGCTGATGCATAAAGCAATGCTCTGACCCTGCTTTGAACGTATGTGACGGGAATTCTGTATCTTGTGTGATCGTCCAAAAGGGATGTGTGTTGCTATTGAGTCTAAAATGCAGGCAACGAGAATCGAACCCGGACCCCTTGGACGCAAGGCGCCTGACCTTTTAGGGCCACATTGGGGTCAGATAAGGGTCAGGTCAGTTTTGGGTTTACAAATTCGCTGACCCAAATGTGCCTATATTTTACTGTCTGTCCTAAAACTGACTTTTGGGACAGAATCGGGTCAGGTTCGGGTCTGTCCCGGGTCAGAGTGAGCTTTGGGTGAGGTGTGGGTCAGTCACATTTTGGTGATGAAACCCACCTGTTCCCGCCTCACGAGCACAGGCAGGTGTCGCAGCGTGGAGGGCATGAGGGGCGCGGAGACGAGTAAGAGTGGAAAGAGCTCGACGAGAAAGTGGTAGAAGTTCCTCGCAGGTTGGTGCGCCCAGTTGAACACTGCTGGCAGCTCGTGCACCGAGTGACTCGCCTTGTACTTGGCCTGTTGAGAGGGAGTACACAACACGTATGGCAGACCTCTAAATGCCCCACTATGCCTGCTGGCAGGCCAGATTGAACACTGCAATTGGCTGACCACTCCGCACAACTCTCTCTTCTCAACATCCCTTCTCACTCACACATCCCTCCCTCCACACAGCTCTCACCGTTCCGGAGAAGCGCCAGCACCCGTTCCTCACGAACACGTGTGTGCGGTTGAGATTCACCCCGGTGTTTGTCACAAATACGTCCTCCAGCCGCATCATCTGCAGCGCGGTCGCATCGTGCGGGGTGAAATCCTTCCTGTTTGTGCACGTCTCATCGAACGGCGCCCACCCCCTTCGATGCCTCCACTTCTCCAGCTGGGAGCTATTATTCTTAAGGGGGCAGTTTATAGGGGGGGTGATATTGTCCTCGGGCCCATCCACGAGGTGGGGGTTCCAGCAGGCCTGCACGTTGGGGAAGCGGGCGGTGCAGGAGCCGAAGGTGGGGCAGGGAGGGCCGTGGCACCCTAGCTTCTTTACCCAGTCTGACTCGCCTGAGACACTCTCGCCTGAGACACTCTCGCCTGAGACACTTTCCTCAGAGACACTCTCGGTTGGAGCAGTTGTAACGTTTCCGGTACCAGTTCTTGGATTGCCACCACTTAAGCTGCTCTGTGGACTGCCATTGGAACTGCCATTTGAACCGTCACTTAAACCGCCACCTGAGATGGCACCTAAAGTGACACATGAATCATCGCTTCCAGGCTCGATCGGGGTGCCGTAGAAGTTGGGGGGCCACGGCTTGCGGAGAGGGAGGTGTTCAAAGAATCCCATAAAGATGTTGGGCAGGCGAGAGGCGTCAAGAGGGCAGCCCAGCGGACGAATCACGAGTTTGACTCGCTCCGGGTGAGTCCTGGCGTGGTTGGGCGGGAGGGGGGTCTAGGAATGGATGAAGAGAGAGAGAGAGAGAGAGGGAGACCGAGTAGTTTTGAGCCGACCCAAATGGCAACGCGCCACAAGGTTGACTGGCTTTGGTGAGGCCTCACGAGGTCGGGCGGCAAACAATGGATGAAGAGAAAGTGAGGACGAACGGAATAAGTGCGTGTGTGTGTGCGTGCGTGCGTGCGTGCGTGCGTGCGTGCGCGTGTGTGCGTGCGTGCGTGCGTGCGTGCGCGTGTGTGTGGGTGTGTGTGTGCGTGCGTGCGTGCGTGCGTGCGTGCGTGCGTGCGTGCGTGCGTGCGCGTGTGTCTGTGTGTCTGTGCGTCTGTGTGTCTGTGCGTCTGTGTGTGTGTGTCTGTGTCTGTGTCTGTGTGTGTGTGTGTGTGTGTGTGTGTGTGTGTGTGTGTGTGTGTGTGTGCGCGCGCGCGACATGCTCAGCCTCATCCAACCCCTGTACGCGCGCCTCATCCTGAGACGTATCCACCCTGTGAAGCACATATATATGCAGTTTTGGAGCCAGGTTTTTAACAATAACTCGCATCTAAGCATGGCATGCAATGTGCCAAATACGCTAACACTATCAAAACTAGTATTCTAGCTGCAGCCCATGGCACTTCCCGATCACATGGAGAAAACAAGTGCTGTGAGCCAAAGGCACCTACTTATCACCGGAGTAATACATGGGGCGGAAGCCCATGTCATCTACTTACCACAAGAGTAATGCATGGGCTGCATTCCAAGGCACCAGCTTTGCTGCATGACGTTCATACCTGTCTGGGCTTGACTCCTCATGCACCGCTTCCCCAGCAGTGGAATCTATAGTCCCCACCCCAACCGTGTCGCCCTCATCCTGCGGCGCACTGACTGGTACCTCCGCATGCTCTTCAGTGACAGCGACGTGCTCAGCCTCATCCAACCCCTCAACGCGCGCCTCATCCTGAGTCGCGTCCACCCTATCAAGCACGTAAAAATGCAATTTGGGGGCCAAGTTCCAATGAGCATCAGAGAACTATTGCTGTCTTGTTTCAAATGCGCTAACAATGATGAGAGTAGTGTCCTTGATGCAGCCTATGGCACCTCCTTACCACGGTGCCCTACACCCTAGGCTGCAAACAAAGGGCACCAACTTACCATCAGCGCGTGACATGGGCTGCAGCCCATGTCACCTCGTTACCACCAGAATAACACATGGGCACCAAACCAAGTGCACCTACTTACCGCCAGTGTACCACATGGCCCGCAGCTCATGACACCTCCTTATCACCAACGGAACACCCTCGCAGCCCTTCCCACCAGCATAACATCTGAGCCACAAATGGGCTGCCGCCCATGGCAAACCCGCTGCACCAGGGTGTTATGTGTTTACGGCACGCATACCTGGCAGGGGTGCTCCTTGGCTGTATCTGATCATCGAGGGCTTCTCCATCGTCCTCTTCTACCTGCTCACCCTCGTCCTCCTCGGGGATGGGCAACATGTCCTCCTCCAGCACAAAAATGGCAGCATCCTCAACGTCCGTGCCCAGTACGCTCCCTGCTGGCACAAGTGGGTCTTGGAGTAGTTCTCCTGCCATTTAAGTGGAGTTGAAAGCAGGATTCAACGTATGTCGTTCACACCTTGCCTCTCCCAAGCCTAGCATGTCAACGTGCATGACATATGCAGCCCAATTTCATTTTACCTTACCTGTTTCTTTGAAGTGTCTGAATTTGGGTCCACGTCGGTCCCCCCCATGGTTGATGCCTTTGGAAAGTTGCAGCTTTCCCGAACTGTTGAAAAAACATTTCTCGAATCCGTACGTTACAGGGCGCATTGATCGCGGTGCTTTGCACATGAGATCAGCCACCTTGCCGACCGAATCTACGTCACCGTATTGTAGATCCTGACCATGTGCCGTGAGCCGCATGCGTGCAATGGTGGCAGCAGTACGGCGGTCCGTCCCTGGAAGCAAGATGGGTTTTTATTAAACGGAGCATGAATGATCTATGGACCACGGTCTATGCGGGTGCTGGCTTATTAAAAACTAACACATTGCACTCCATAATCCTAAAGCAAGCACACTGTTATCCAACTTACTCACCCTTTTCTGATGCAACAGTCATGAGTTTCTTCGTGAGGCGTGGTGCCGCCAGCGTGTATAGGTAGATCAGGTCCCCGCATGAGGCCTCCCGATTGCCTCCGAACATGATCGTTGCACCGCTACGCAGCAGAGCTACAGGCTCCTGCATATTTCTACATATAGATAGTTGCTTCGTTCGGTGCGTCTTGGCGATGTCTTCGACCAGTTCCCTAAGCTTAACGCTTGGATCAGTCGGCGTGGCTGTGCCGACCAGATTACAAGCCTATGGGATTGGGAAGAGAGATCGGAGCAGGGATCAGAGAGGGTACAAGGGCGCAGGGGGACATGAGGAGGGAGAAGAAAGGGAGAATGGAATGGGGCGGCATAGGGAGGAAAGGATGAGAGAGGGATTGGGACAGAGGCACAACTGATGAGCGCCGGAGAAGGGAAAGGGGACTGCCCTACGAGGGAGGTAGGGAGAAGAAAGACGGAAAGGGATGGTGGTGCAAGGGAGCAGTAGGATGAGAGAGGGATTGGGACGGTCTCACAAGCGGTGAGAGGAGGAGAGGGAAAATGTGACTCCCCTGCAATGGAGGAGAGGAGAGGAAACGGTGAATAGAACAATAGCGCTGGAGGGAAAAGGATGAGAGCGGGAGTGGGACAGAGGCACAAGGTATTCCCCCCCCTGTGAGTAGGGGAATGGGACAACCCTTTCAGGGAGGTAAGGAGAAGAAAGGGGGAATGAAACGGGACTGCAAGGGAGCAGTAGGACGAGAGAGGGATTGGGATAGTGTCACAATGGGTGAGAGGAGGAGCGGGAAAACGTGACTCCCCTGCAATGGAGGAAAGGAGAGGAAACAGTGAATAGAACAATAGCGCTGGAGGGAAAAGGATGAGAGCGGGAGTGGGACAGAGGCACAACGGATGATCGTAGGAGTAGGGAAAGGGGACTGCCCTGCAAGGGAGGTAGGGAGAAGAAAGAGGGAAAGGGATGGTGGTTCAAGGGTGCAGTAGGATGAGAGCGGGATTGGGACGGTGTCACAAGGGGTGAGAGGAGGTGAGGGAAAATGGGACTGCCCTGACATGGAGGAGAGGTGAGGAAACGGTGAATAGAACAATAACGCAAGAGGGAAAAGGATAAGAGCAGGATTGGGACAGATGCACAAGGTATTCCCCCCCCTGTGAGTCCGGGAATGGGACAACCCTTTCAGGGATGTAAGGAGAAGAAAGGGGGAATGAAACGGGACTGCAAGGGAGGAAAGGATGTGAGAGGGATTGGGACAGTGGCACAAGGGATGAAATTGTAAGAAAAATGGGACCGCCCTGCGAGACATGATGGGTGAAGAAAGGGGGAGTAGAACAATGGTGCAAGGGAGGAACGGATGAGCGGGTTCGGGACGATGCCCTAAGGGATTGGAGGAGGAGAAGCGGATTGGGACTGCCCAACAAGGGAGGAAGGGTGAGAGGAAGGGGGAGTAGAACAATGGTGCAAAGGAGGAACGGATGAGAGAGGGATTGGGACGATGTCCTAAGGGATTGGAGGAGGTGAATCGAAATGGGACTGCCCTGCAAGGTAGGAAGGGTGAGAGAAAGGGGGAGTAGGACTATGATACAAGGGAGGAAAGGACCAGAGAGGGATTGGGACGATACCCTAAGGGATTGGAGGAGGAGAAACGAATTGGGACTGCACTGCAAGGGAGGAAGGGTGAGAGAAAGGGGGAGTAGAACAATGGTGCAAGGGAGGAACGGATGAGAGAGGGATTGGGACGATGCCCTCCGACTTGGAAGGAGGAGAAGGGAAATGGGACTGCCCTGCAAGGGAGGAAGGGTGAGAGAAAGGGGGAGTAGAACAATGGTGCAAGGGAGGAACGGATGAGAGAGGGATTGGGACGATGCCCTTCGACTTGGAAGGAGGAGAAGGGAAATGGGACTGCCCTGCAAGGGAGGAAGAGTGAGAGAGGGATTGGGACAGTGGCGCAAGGGATGAAAGTAGAAGGGAAATGTGACTGTCTTGCGAGGGAGGCGGGGAGAAGAAAGGGGGAATGGGACGGCGGGGCAAGGGAGGAACGCATGAGAGGGGGGTTTGGACGGTGGCACAAGGGGAGGGGTAGCGTCTGGGAATGGGAGTGCTAGGGAGGGGGAAGGGGAGGGCTAGCGTGGAGAAAGGAGAGTGCTAGAGTGGGGTAAGGGGAGTGCTTGCAAGAGAGGGGGAAGGGGAGTGCTAGCGCGGGGGAAGGTGGGGGCTCGCAGTGGGGAACGGGAGTGCTAGGGAGGGGGAAGGGGTGTGCTAGAGTGGGTGAAGGGGAGTGCTTGCTAGCGAGGAGGAAGGGGAGTGCTTGGGAGGGGATAGGAGAGGGCTAGCGTGGGGGAAGGAGGGTGCTTTCTAGCGAGGGAGGGGAGTGCTAGCGTAGGGGAGAGGGTGGGCTTGCGGTGGGGAAGGGGAGTGCTAGGGAGGGGGAAGGGCGCCGCTAGCGTGGGGGAAGGAGAGTGCTAGAGTTGGGGAAGGGGAGTGCTTGCTAGCGAGGGATACGGGGAGGGCTAGCGTTGGGGAAGGGGTGGGCTTGCGGAGGGGAAGGGGAGTGCTGGGGAGGGGGAAGTGGAGGGCTAGCGTGGGGGAAGGGGAGTGCTTTCTAGAGAGGAGGGAGGGGAGTGCTAGCTTGGGGGAAAGGGAGGGCTTGCGGTGGGGAAGAAGAGTGCTAGAGTGGGGGAAGGGGAGTGCTAGGGTGGGAGAAGGGGAGTGCTCGCTAGCAAGGGGGATTGGGAGTGCTAGCGTGGGGAAAGGGCCGGGCCTGCGGTGGGGAAGGGGAGTGCTAGGGAGGGGGAAGGGGAGTGCTAGGGAGGGGGAAGGGGAGTACGCTCATGGGGAAAGGGGCGTGCTAGGGAGGGGGGAGGGGAGAGCTAGCGTGGGTGAAGGGGAGCATAGGGAGTGGGGGAAGGGGAGCATAGGGAGTGGGGGAAGGGGAGCATAGGGAGTGGGGGAAGGGGAGCATAGGGAGTGGGGGAAGGGGAGCATAGGGAGTGGGGGAAGGGGAGTGCTTGCTAGCGAGGGGGAAGGGGAGTGATAGCGTGGGGGGTGGGGAGGGCTAGCGTTGGGCATGGGTCGTGCTAGTGTGGCCCAAGAGAGTGCTAGCATGGGGAAAGGGAGTGGTATAAGCGGGGTAGTAGGAATGTGCTAGTGCGGGGGAAGGGGCGTGATAGCGACGAGGACGGGGAGGGCTAGCCTGGGGATAGGGGAGTGCTTGGGCGGTAGCGAAAGGAGGGTGCTCCCGTGCGGAAGGGCCTGCAGTAGCGCAGGCAGAGGGGAGTGCTAGGGAGGGATGGGGAGGGCTAGCGTGGGGTGCGTGGGTCACTATACGATGTGGAAGAGGGACGGGGAAGGGGAGTGCATGCTAGCGAGGGGGAAGGGTAGCGCTTTGGGTGGGGTAGGGGTGCGCTAGCGTGGGGAATGGGAGTGCTGTCCCCGCGTCGGGGAATGGGAGTGCTAGCGTGACAGGGAATGGAGTGCTAGCGTGACGGGGACTGGGAGCGCTAGCGTGACAGGGAATGGAGTGCTAGCGTGGGATGGAATGGGTGCGCTAGAGTGACGGGGAATAAACGTGGAGCGTGACGGGGAATGGGTGTGCTAACGTGCGGCGGAAGGGGTCCGCTTCCGTCGGGGAGGGGGAGTGCGCGCGTCGGGAAAGTGATCGCTAGCTTGACGAATGGGAGTGCTCGCGACAGGGAAGGGGAGTGGTCGCGACGTGCGTGTGGGAGAAAGAGGTAGCATGAGCATGATTTATAAGTTGGCACGTATTTCGCAACGCAGCGTGAGATTACTTTATAGTAAGAAAGAGGGAGCGTAGCGCTGTACCATGATAAAATCGCCGAGCCACCGCACAATGCGCGTTGCGTAAGGAGACGCCCTCGCTCCCGCGCAGACGTGGGCGCCCTATCCGGATTTTCCTCGCGCCCAAGCTGTCGACTTGCGGGCGCTACGCCGCCCTCGTTGGCTTTTACCTAATCAACTCAAAGGACGGAGTGAGCGCCAGTTCGGGGCGGCCTGATTAAAATCGTCCACTACGCTGCACTCATGCCTAATGTGTGCATTGTCTCGGCTAGAAAAGGTAAGTTGTGGACTACGTGGCTATTATCGAGCTGTGCGTTTGGTGACTGGATACCTTGAGTCTCAAGTTTCTACCCCGCTGGTTTCAGGTTTCCTACCTCAGTTGCCTGTGCGACACATTGGGCCCTGTTCGGGTGCAGGCGATGCAGACGCTACAGTAATTTTGGGGGGCGAGAGTTTGAGCCCTCCCAAGCGTGAACTTTCAGGGGACAACGCTGTCAACAGGGTTACACCCAACCAAGGGTAGGAAGGATGAACCAAACTTGGCAAACTTGTGACCCCGGTTTTAACACGCGAGGGGCGGTTATTCCGTCCCTTCTTGGCTGTTATGCCGCGATAGGAGTCACTTTTGGGGTTGACGCGAGGGAGAATAAAAAGCTTGGACCTGACTTTATTAGAAAGAAAGAAAGAAAGAAAGAACAAGGGAAAAAAAAGCATAAGAAAAAAATAAATAAATAAAACCTTCACACGCGATGCAACTGGGGACGACTGCTTTGAGAACAGTAACTAGCTGTTGTGACTTTTGGCAGTACTTATTACTTCCACTGTCGTGAATCTGCCAGATTTGAAATGAGGGGCTCAAGAACTTCCTCGGAACCAACTGTGGCTCCCTCGCCGCATCGCGATTCGCGAATCGTGACATGGGAGAAGT